GCAGCGTGTGCATGTGAGAGCGTGGGATGTGAGAGATCTTCATTAAATGGATGAACAGGAATGTGGGGTTAAAGACCAGATGGGGTGAGGAGGAAAAAGAAGCATTGAAAGAGGAGCAAAAGGCAGAAATGGAGGGATGAGAGAGAGGAAGTGATGAAAAAACAAAATGTGAAGGGCTGACAGATGGTTAGATTTAATAATGGAGATGGAGAGGTGGCACTGAGCTAAATAATGCTAAATCAAAATAAGAGGTCCTTTCAGGAGGATGCGCTACTCGAGGCTTGTGCACTGGCAAGTGGCATGAAGGCTGATACGCATAGCACACACAGACTCGCATACATGTAGACACACATCCAGATGTGTGTACAGATGTGTATTCAGGATGGGCCACTCACTTTAATAAAATAATTAGATAATAACTTAAAAATCCAGCAGCTCTCATTCTGATACACAACACCTCAAGCCAAAAAACACAACTTTTACATGTAACACTAGACAAACATCCAATGACAGAACATACATGACAAGAAAGACATTGTAGGCAAAAGTGAGACTAGCAAGATTAAGAAAGAAATGAACAATCGAGCAGAAAAAAATGGGGAAGAGGAAGAAGAAGCAGAGTTTCTAGCCCAGAAAATGTAAGGAAGGAGGAAAAGTCAAGGAAGGAGATAGGTAGAGAAGTAAGAGTGTGCCCCTTACCTTGACATCTGCCTTTTTGTTGAGCAAAGTCTTGGCTGCTGCAATGACAAACAAGGAAAACAACCAGTTAAAGGTGTAGCTGAGCAATAGCAACTCCATGTTTCTCAGTGAGTCTTGGTATGAGCTACAACCTTAACCTACATTGAAGCCTTTAGAGATAATCTGGATTTGACTGAAATAATGTTCTTTACTGACCTTAGTAGTAATAGTCTTTTTTTGAGTAATGATAAGTAAAGGTTGCCTGAGGCTGAAAGAGAAAGGGAACCTTTTGCACACTGAACTTAAAAAAAAAAAGTGTTTTTACAAAATGACTCAAAGCTAAACAACTACAACCTCCTGAATTTACTAGAGTCTACAGATGGATACAGTATGAGTATATTGATTCATCTATTAGTCAAACAACTTGCCTTGATATTTTTTCCCCCCCAATTTCATAACAGCATGTACCTGTAAAACTGAATTCTTTGACTGGCTAAAAAATAAAGTTAAAACCAACAACTCAAAGATGTTTAATACTAATGTCAAGGTAGTCAAACTGCAAAGTGGCAGGTTGAAAAGTTAAGCCAGTGCAGAAAAACCAGTACTTAAAGATGGTCATTGAGGCTGGCTTTAAATACCAGTCAATCCCCACTGACTCTTATGTTAAATGCCCACCATTATATTAGTCAACAATGTGCTTACAGCCTGGTAAAAAACAGTTTGGGGCTTTATGTATAGTTTCCTCCTTGACAGCAACTGTTTGATGGGAGGTTTTTGGGTTTTGTTTTTACTCATTCATTTGTTAAGGCTTCAGGGTTGGGGTGTGACCGCTTCGATGAACAGCTGAGTTGAACCAGGCGGCTGTAGCTGTAGTTCTATGCTTTTAAACAGCCACACAAATTTCACTGTCTCCTTGGGAACAGTATTGCTCCCAAAGAGAAGTTGGCATATAAAGCGGAGGAGCCAGGGAATTGAACTACCAACCTTTCAATTATAAGCCAGCCCGCTGTAGTCCCCGAGCCACTCAAACAGGCTACAAGCAGACAGACTAGAAATTTTCCGAATATGGAATTTTCACATCAGTTTGTCTTAAGAATAGTTGGCACAAAGACGCTGTTGTCAGTGAAATAAAAATATTCTCCATTTGCATGGTTTCACATGAATTCTCAGGCTAAAGTCTCCCTGAAGCCATGAGGAAGTCAAAGTAAAGATGGCTGCCTCACACGGCAGCCATAAACCCAACAATAAGCCCTGCCTTAAAGAACTCCACAGAGGCCCAAAGGAGGATTAGTGTTCAGTCTGCTCTCTAATGAGGGGTAATGAACGAGGGGGTGAGGGAGGAAAGCAGGAAAGAAAGAACGATACTATAGAAAAAGTCCACTGATGAGCATAATACCCATAATCCTTTACAACAGTGGAAAGTGCATGTAGTCAACAGAAGACAGTCCGCAGGGCATTTACTGTGACTGCACTGCTAATGCCCAGAAAGTAAGGTGGTCTGATTGCATTAGATAGCTACATGTTCACCCAGAGGCCTCCAAAGTAAGAGCCAGACTCTGGCTTGCTGGTCAGTGGAGCCTGTGGCTGCATCTGTGGGGATGTGGACAGAGGATTAACACTAACACGACACCAGGTGATGAGATTGGACGTGCAAATTAGTGCAATTCTACAGCTTTAAAGTTGGTACCAAAATGCACTTTCTTGCTTGTTGGTATTTTACAGCTGTAAACACCAACACAAGGATAGAAAAAGGACTTCAGGAGAGCATAGTTATGACTTCTAGAGTTCCTATTTTGATCATCATTATTATTTTACAATAGGAACATTATTTTCTGTCTGCGATGTCTTAATTTACCAAAGTGAACACTTAACTCAGTTAATTTAATTACTCAATTACTTCTGAAGACAATAGCTAGAGCATGATATAGAAGGCACAAATCTACCTTCTCAAAAAGCAAATAAACTATATTTAAACATGCTTAAATTGGGTTGTTTTTGAAAAAAAAAAAGATTCTCAAAAATATTGTTTTGCTTTAGTATAGATGTCAGTGCTATACATAGATCTCATACAGGTTACCTTGTACAAAGATGTTTACATTATCACTGCCATAGTGTGCCTATCTTATAGTAAATAATCTAGCTGTGATCACCTGGGAGTTAAAAAGCCAGATTCCTCTCAGTGTTACTTCCATAGATGCTTGCTGTGACTTTTTGCTAAGAGCCTGAGTGCAGCTTCAAGTCTAATCAGATGCAATCACATCAGTATCCAGCCATGTTACATAAAACACTATTTATGGCAGTCCGGCTGTTTTTTCTTTTCTTTTTGCTTTTTCCTCTTCCCTTCCCTCTCTCCCTCATTCCTCTTTCTCTGAACATCAACCTCCTGTTTGATTTCCCCACTTCCATTTCAAAACATGTACCAAAGCAGCTACACTGAGTGAACAGAAGCTTCAAGTCGATGAGAATTCGGACTATGTGCTGATTTCTTTGGGGGAGCAGAAGTCCAAACAGAGAGCGGTCACTTCAAAGACCACTGCAGGCCATGCCAAATTTAAACTGTATCCTTATAAGAGCACATTTGAAATAGCCATTAAGATAAAGATCAAGAGAGAAAAATACATGGAAGATAGGGTGTGCACACTACATCTTTTTTTTTTCTTTTCTGCCTCAGTGATTCAGTATATTGTGCTTGAAGTGAGGTTTGCATATTCAGCAGCCAAAAAGGGAGCAATAGGAAGTGATAAATAAGCACTTTGTAATCTGGAGGGATGTGAGGATGGCATGAATGTGCATGTTTAATTGTTGTGCTGTTCTTCCTCAGTCTCCTTCCAAAGGCCGGTTGTTACTGAGGAGAAGAAATGGGGTCAGAAATAGTGTCAAGTTCATTCTCTCGTATTCTCTGATGGCTTCACAGAGAATGAGAGGATAAGAGAGCAGAGAGGAAGAGTAAGGAGAACATGAGTGGAAGTGATGAAGGTATTCAAATGTGCTTTCCAAAGTGACATTTTTCAGTCAAACTGGATCTTCCAAAAATGTCTTTAAGTTCCAGGCATAGCTGTGGAAATCTGAAAAGAGCCAACATTAGCTTAGTTCAACCCAAAGGTTTAGAAGCAAGGGGTGCTCCTTACCTTGCCACAAATTACACATGAAGCAAGAAGAGAGAGGAGGAAGAGATTAAATCAAAGGCATCACTAATAAATTTCTATTAAAATCATGCAAGATGGACCACTGCAAGAACAAAGCAGGGATGGGCATTGATTCACATGAAGTCCCACATAACGGAATAAGCTAATGGAGAGATATGCCTATAATGAAGAGCCCCTCAATATCTTCTTCATATAACACAGTCCAGGACAGATTAAAAGACTGTCCGCTGCTGTCCTGCAGGATGTTGGAGTGAGTTTGAGTAGATTTTACTTGTACTTTTAATGTATGAATACGTGTAAAAGAACAAGGCCTCTAGTAATCCAGTGAGGCAAAGTGAGGCTGATATGGAGAGGCAGTCCACTATAAATATTTGATCGGAGTCTCGTGGAGGCTGAGGGACACAGAGAGGACGGTGGTGTCCCAGTAGATTATAGAAACAAGGACACAGCCACTGTTTCTGTCTCCTTAGCTCAATGCTAGATTGTCACATGAAGTTCTTTGCTGTTCATAAACGGGCACCCTACTAAGCAAATGTACAGTGATAAGAAGCTCATGAGCATTCCCCGATGCACAATGGCATCAAGGAACGATACGGTAAAAAATTTAGGTGATCTGTGGTCTGTGAAGGGAGGCTTTTAAGCTTACATTTCAATTTAACAGACTTAACATCTTTTAAATAAAAGAGGAAGTAAGATAGACATTTTTCTTGAAGTGGTTGCTGAAGCTACAAGCTAAGTTACATTTGTCAGGAGGGAAGATATAAAGCTCATAGGAGTTGCTTAGGTTGTTGTGCGTCAGCTGGATGTGCAGCTGTTTGGCAGCTAGGTCAACCTGAACCACTTGATACAGCCATTGCAGAGTTTTATCATTTTCTTGTCTTAATATGTTTAGACAGACGATGAAAGTCTTTTTTTGTCTTGCCTTGCATAACTTCTTAAAACATGACCACTGTGTTGATTCACCACATAGTGGGCTTGAAATAGGTTATGGTGAGTGTTCTGTGGTCTGATGTGGGGGGAAAAATACCACAGCACACCTGAGAACAAACCAATATATGGTTGAGTTGTGACTGAGTTAAAGGAGCCACAAGTTAATGCCTGAGTCAAGGCCACATGTAGACCAAAGCATCATGCAAGCATGTGCCAAGGTTAGGCCAAACAATTACTGCTATCTGGTCTAAACTATCCAGAAATGCATGTGCCAACTGCAATCTGGGAACCCGTGAACTTAGCCTTGTAAAGTTTTTGGAGTTTTTCTTAGTCAGGATACCTGGATAGGGCAGATGTAGATGGTTCAAGATTTCTTGTTTTTGGATTCTGGAAAATACTTCTTGCTCTCAACGTAGACTATTATGTACAGGCAACTAAATATTGCTCAAATGTGATTGGTTAGTTTACAGGACTACAAATAGGCATTTTTTTTGGAAAGCACTTTTCAGTTTCACCACTGAAAAATTAAGCTGAAGTTAACAGACTTTAATTAGATCTGGTTGTCTAAAACAAAGCCTTACATTCAGTCTGAAAAGTAAAACAACAAGGCTCCAACATTTACAATTAAAACATTGGTCCAACGACCAATGACTACATGTTACAGCAATACAGCTACATACGAAACTGGACTGTAAAACCTACAGCTCAGTTCATAACACAATTACTGAATAAGTACTAATACGGGACTTATCTTAAAAAAAACAACAACAACTTTAAAAGGCTTCGACTTCATGAAAACAAGCCCAGCCTTGCATCATTTACAGTGTTCATCATGCACCAGAGTCCCCTTGTGTTGCAGCGCATGCACCAGTCCAGTGCCCCATGCAGCATTCACCGACAGCTCTCAGGCAGTTCCATCCTTAAAGTTACAGGGGTGAACTTTCCAGTGTCATTGTCAGACAGAGAAAAGAAGAGAAAGGGAAAGAAGAGTGAGGAGTGAGGGGAAAGGTAAGATGTGACATTTGAGGAAACAGGGAAAGTGGGAGTGAAACTGGTGAAGTTGTGGAAAAGTATTGGATGACTCAAGAATCAACAATGTCCAGAGAAGTAAAAATGCCAGAATACAGAAAAAGGAAATGGGGTAAAACTGAGTGATGACAGAGATGGCACAACTGAGATGGCAGGAAAAGAGTGGAGAAAAAAAGAGAAACTGAGAGACAGGACAGCAGTGCGTTTGGGCCATGCTCGGTGACTCTGTGCAGAGATGAAGATAATACGATGAACAGGGGTGTGTGGTAATGACAGAGCAGTGATGGGCTCTGAAGCAACTATCAAATCCCAGACAGGAGATGAGAGATGTGCTGACATAGTAAATGACAGCAATAGCTGGGCTTCCACTCTTTAGGTCCTTTTCAAATTTAACAGCCTAAACATAGATTGAAAAAGACGGAAGATGTAATATTTAGTTATCTTGCGGAAATTAATTTCTGGTTTTCTCATTAAACAAAAATGTTTTCAGTCTTTCTTACCAAATTAAATTTAAAGTTAGTGGTGTTTTTAACATCAAGAAGAGACATATGTATAAACCAATAGATCAGATCACCATTAATACTTCCCAGTTACATTAAAAGAAACTTACATTAAAACATTAAATAGGCCTTATATTCATTCTTTTTAACATACTTGGAGTAGACAGAGTTAGTCATAATGTTGGACTATTTATTTTATTTTTTACGCGTTTTCACTACCAGCAGACACAGAAGGTGTGGGTTTGTATAGTGGGAGAGAACGTATGTGTTTGTTTTAATATTACTCTGCTAGTTGTTCTTGTGTCAGCGCATTTTTAATGATATTTTTAAATATGTATTAATATGATCCTATGTTATGTGTTTCAGGATCCTCTTTGATGCCCCATATCCTTTTGGATATGGGGCATCAAAAGGGTTCGCCAATTAAACTTTTATAACTAAAAATCTTAACATTGAATGTAAGTAAAAATCCTTGTTTTATTAATTAATTTAGCTTAAATTAAAAGTTGGGTATCTTTCTTTTACATTGGGGGAAAAAAGCATATAGTGCACATTGACTGTAAATTGGTTTTAAAGATGTCACGTTTGGTGTCATATGGAAACATTTGGTGTTGTCAGTGCTACTAAAGTTTGTAAAATTCCAATCATTTTTATTAGAATATATTGTTATGTGTAAAAATATATCATTATTGCTATACAGCTTCTTCAGCTTATTTTTAAAGTGACAGGATTTTTTAAATGTACTGCAATTTTTTGAAAATAGAATATGCAAATATTGTATCTGTAATTAAAAATCTATTAAATAGTCACTAATTTGTATAAATGTCCAATAACAGGTTATCAAAAAGAAACTAAATGAGTATTTTAAACACATGTTTTAGAAGAAAAACTCTTTCACATTAAAAATTATTAACATAATAGACGTGAAAAGGAAAAAGCTTAAATTTCTTTCATTTGTCGTATGTAAAACACGGTCATAGTTAGCTGGAAGCATAGCTAATACTGCAGCTGTTGAGATGAGGGGAGGTGTAGTTAGCAATGTTGTCAGCCATCATGCTCTGAACTCCCATGCTCGGAAAGGAGGGAGGGGTAGCAGAGAAGATTGAGTAAAGGGAAAACAGAAGAAGAAGAAGTTCAAAGAGTCAAAGACAGGTGCAGACAAGGGGCAGGGTGGGAGGGGTGGCATGCCCTGGGTGAGCCACCGTGATACCTTGTTCCACCAGCCCTGCTGTGGTGCCGGCGGCTGCAGCCACAGCTGCTGCAGCTGCAGTGACAGAGGCTGGAGCGGTGGTCTGCCTGCTGCCCACTGTTAAGAGTCAAATACCCAGTCACACGTGAAGAACGAGTTACAAAGCCAGGAGGAAAGGAATGTGAGAAAAGGGTGAAAGAGGAACAAGGGGTAAAGATGGAGAAAGGGTGGAGTGATATTTAGTAAGAAGGTGATTGAGGAGGAGTCGGATACAACAGGAGGTAGGCAGGTAGGGTGGGGGAAGGAAATAACAGGTGAGGAACAAAAGGGGCGGAGACACACGGGGCTCATTAGTTTAGAAGGAGGATTAATTTATATACACAGACCACTGAAAGCATTTTTATAAATGGAGTCGCTGCTTTGACAGAAGAATCCACAGAAAAACATCAGGCAGTGACACAAATCTTTACTTCCATGTGGGACACTTTAAATCTTGCCATTTGTCTCAAAGAATACCTGAGAAGAGTGTTAATGTTAGGATGATGATGGCAATGATGATGCAGAATCAAGCCGCAGTTAGTATGTGTTAGATTTGTAGCGTCTGTGCTTTTAAAACTAAACTAAAAAACATCATCTTTTCCTGACAGCATCTTTATTTGGTACGTTTCACATTGAAATGTGATGAGAAATAGAACCACCTCTGTACCAGCACAGACACTGAAACTGATTTGTGTAACACATGATTCATAATATATGCTGAAAATACAGCAAGCCATTGCATAAAGCACTGACGTTGGATCCTGCCTTGATGTAATGTGCCACAGCTATCTCTCTCTGAAAGCCTATCTCTCACTTTTTACTTTTTTAACTCTGTCTCGTTTTCTCTCTGACTCATTCACCTGCTGACCTACTCTTATATTTGAGTACTGCTTTCTCACAAGAGGAAAAATGGTAGGAAAAAAGTTCTTTGAGAGCGGTCGCACAGGCAGGCCACACACCTGGGTCAATGTGTGTATGTGTGGGGGGATTTAAGAATTGATTGATTGTTTAGTGGATATTCAGACTGCTTCCCATGCCGATGCTTGCAGTGTTAAATCAGCTGCTGTGAGTCATGTTTACTAAAGCAGCATGCTTATAGACAGACGTATACACACATTTATATATGCAAAATACACATTTGTACAAGAATGAAGACTCCGTGGGTATAATTCTTCCAAAGCGATTACCCTGAATGCATTAAAGCACTATAATGTTCATACACAGTAAATGACAAAATATTTTGTCATTGTACAGTAGATGAGCTCCCGTTTCATAGACCACAACAGTGCCAATAAAAATCAACCTAGTAAGTTCCTATTTAACCATCTACTGCATTTAATACATCGTAGGTAAAAAAAAAAAAATTCTCAGTTTGAAAAATTAATTTCCCAAAGTTTGGGAGGGGAAGAGGGAGTGCTAAAGTACACCATGTTGCTTGAATTAAAGCACAGATTCAAGATCATGTAAAACTTCAATAAAGTTATTATTACAGAGATATAAACAAACACAAAGACAAGTACACAGACATCAACAGCTTGCGGATCAATTCAGTGTTTCCCCACATTTTGTTGTTCCAGTTCAGCGTGGTGCAAAAGACACACACAGAATGACTGAATCATTTTCCAACTATTGTTGCTGTACTTTAAGATTCTGCTGTGGGTGATTCACTTCCTGTAGCTGAAAAACTGTCATTAAGTGTTAATGTAATGTCAGGTCGAAACGGTCTTAGGTGTTGTTCCTCATATTTACAGAGTGTGAAAATATTCTCAGGACATCGGGACGTGAGAGCAGCGAAGAAACAATGTGCAGCTGTTTTTATTAGACTAAATGTGGTTTTAAAATGTGAAATTATTGGAAAAATATCACATAAAAACAGCTCTTTTCATAAAAACATCCTGCATTACATGTTAACAGCTACATACACAAGAAAACCAAGGGAAACACTGAAGCTGCATCGAAATGAAATGGAAATGTGAATCTGAAAGCATGCTCTTTAATCTTTATGTAAAATATAACTCTTGAAAAAGAGACAAATGAGTTTGTCATTAAATATTTACATTTACCTGTGCTTACAAGGTGCATGCCACCATTTTTTTAAACATCAACAGCCTCATTTTACCTGCTTTGCTTTTCTCACTGTAAGAAATAAAAACTGAGTTTCCCACAGAAATACCTTACTCGAGTGGGCTGCACTGACATAAAATAACAACTAGCAATGTGTTTTCTTTTTCACCTGTCCGGGAGAACGACACCAGCTGCCAATTTACTAGTGGACAATCTTTTCACACTTCCTTTCACAGTTTAAAAGTTTGTCATTGCTAACCAGATACTAATGGCTTTAGCCTGTCTCATATTTCCATGCCGGCAGGCTGACCAGGTCACTGATGTGGCAGCCCTTGATATTGTTAAGCTACCTCTTCAGAGGTTTTTCTCCACACAAACTCCAACTCCACCGACATATATCCACTCCAGGGATCTGCTGTTAATGTAGGGTCACTCTAACCAGAACCCAAAGTGAGTAGAGTAGTTCACGTGCCACTACATTGCAATTCATCAGTGCTGCAGAGCAAAACTACAGCTACGCTCGCCAAATACAGTTTAAGGTGGAGTCAGTCTACTTAATGAGTGATTTATTGGAGACCGAGCCAATTATCGGTCCTTTATTTAATTGTCACAAACTGTATATAGAGCATAATTTACAGGGGGTTTTTTTTTGCCAATCAATTTTCTTCCTAGGTTCTACTACAATAGCTTTGCATCTGAAACAGAGACTTTAGGACAGCCTACTTTTTCTTACATACCCTAACCAGATCCCCCACCCCATCCTCTGGCTATATTTTCACAGACAGAATGTAATTCTGTGGGAAACACAGTAATTTGTTTGTGGCTGAAAAGATGTGTGGTGGAAGGCACCAGAGATCAATAGTGAATACACAGGATAAGTCAAGTTCTTAGGTGGAGTATTTTTTTAAAGAATGAGTCCTCCAACATAGTGGCATGTCCCAAACAGACTGTAACAAGTTTGCATTTAAAATTGCTTCTAGAAATTTTAATACCGGCAGGTGTTGGTTCACAGATATGAATGGTAGGTTTACAAAAATGGAGGATTCAAGAAGCACTTACCGGAGAAATTTCGAGAAACCAGCATGGTAGTAAGAATGGCCCCCTGAGAAGAAAACAAAAGGACATAAACTTAATGATTTTGGTATTTTTATGGAAATTAAAACCCATTTTTCCCTCTTCTGCTAGCAATTGATTGGTCACAGCCATCATTTAACCAACATTCAGGTGATTAAAGTGTTATATTTGCCGCTTGAATCAATAAAACTGTCTTCATTTGGAACAATCCTGATTTGCAGCAGGTGAAAGTCACACTGGAAGCTTCCAGTGCTACCCCTCAGCCTCCGAGTAGACATATCTATGCCTTGTTCTGAAGTTATCACATTCACGATTTTCAGAAAAGTTGGCCTCTGACCTTTGATCTTTAGGTTGACATCACTGAGATTTGAACGCCAAATTTTAGTAGACACACTTATAGTATCAATTCGGAGCTCCTACATGACTGTATTCTCAAGTTTCTCTCAAAATTAGGTGTCTACACCACCCGCCCAGCAGGGTGACAATAATACCCCATTAGTCTTTTACAGCTGAGGGGTAAAAGTCAATTGAAAGAGGCCACTATTCGTGTTTGATTTATAAATGGTTTCTTAAATGTGGAGTGTAAAATACTGTACACACAGTAATTCATCACCAATAAAGATATAACCCCAAATTAAGATTCAAATTATAGAGAGAGAAAACAAAAACTTTCCTCCACAATAACAAAGAATACCAAGCTGCACATGTAACCCACTCAGACCTACTCACATCTAAAGCGCTGACAACAAGGCCAGGCTATGAAAATCAACAGCAAAAAAAACTACTTGATAAAATGCAGCATGACTGCAAAGTGAGTCCGTATAATAGCCTGGCACACGAAAATGTTCTGCAGTATTGTCCCAGTCAAACAAAAATGTGTGAGATACAAAGACAGGAGACAAAGGACAAGCAAAAAAGCAGAAGAGAGAAAAAACAAAGAACAATGAGGAAAGCAGCTCGTCTTAGCACTTTTTTTTCTCTGGAGAAATCATCTCAAACTGGAGGCGAAAACTTTTCAAAAATGGTTTGGAATTTCAAACAGACGATGGGATGATGCTATGCCTAATATCAGAATAGATAACACATAACACATCTCTCGCTCCCTGTAATCAGAGTGAATAGAGTGGCAGTAACACATGTCTAAAAGGTCAGAAATAGATAGAGAGTCCACATCTGAAACATCCAGCTCAAATTCAGAATTAAAGAGAAAAGAACAGGCAGTAAATGTCTAGGAGATTTTTGCATCTCTAAATGATTTTATGCAACATATTACAAAAAATTAAAGCTACACTAGAGTAAAATCTAGAAAAAAAAGACTTAAAAAACAAAGTACACACAAAAAAGCTTGAAAATAAACAGCCCTCCTCTTGATGCTCTCCACTCTCTCACTCTCAGTTTTTTAGCCTCTCACCAGACAATGCACACTAAAAAGAAGTCAATTTTGAATTTTGGCTCGACACACAATTTAAAACCCACTCTCTCAGCTTGAAATGCATCAGCTTTGGGCCTCCCTTCTTATTTCCTGTGTGGACTTGTTAAATCTGGATATCAACTCTTTGCGATTGGCCTCCTGTCATGGACTAGAGTTTCTAAAAGCTAAAAACAGTAGATTGGTTTGACTTGAGACGGCAAAAATTAAGTGTGCAGAAAGGTTATTGTAGATTTTTTCTATTGACCACTAACACATAAAACATGTCCCTGCTTTAGGAAGTATCCAGAAGACCATAAGTTAATCATAGTATGCTAAATTTTAGCATAAACCTGGAATTGGATTTATTCAATTAAAATTTGTTATTGTGTTAGTTTTTATTTAAATGCACTAAATCACAGATTGATTGTCTGTATATTTTGTCCTCTTTTCATACTGTGCATGCTTTGATTTTCTTATATTTTTTGTTGTGTTTTGCAGTTTCTGTTCACTATGTAGCAAAACATCTAACCTTGCCACTTGACTTTAAATGTGAAAAGCCCGAGACAATTGTTTGACGCTGTTGGCATGTTAGTTGAATGGTGCAACATTTGCCTGCAGCCACCTGCACTTCAGCTTGCCATGTGCTGGTATTTAAGCCATGCCAAGAGTGGCCAAAAGCAGCAGGGTGACAGTGTCATGCTCCAATGGCTAAGCTGTTACGTCCACACAAAATCTAAGCAATAAATCAGTGTAAAAGGGAAACCATGCATAACACTGAATCTAAATTTGAAATGACTTTGCATATGTAAATATCATATAGATGAAGCAAATGCTATATTTTATACTGCAGGCCAATTAAACCCACTTATGTTTTCTTGAATCACTTTGGCGAACCCTAAAGTAATGAGGTAATAAAAGTGAGTGAGGACAGCAGCAGAAGGACTGAGAGCTTATTAGAGCAGAAGGGGAAGAAGTGTAATAGGGTGAGTATGCGAACAGACCTTGAGTTTCCTCCTGGCATTGAATTTCTTCAGGCACTCCACGGTCTCCTGTCTGTGCATCATAGATGCCACTGTGGATCGTTGCTGAGAAAAGGAAGAAGAGACGGAAGAAGAGGAGTGGGGTGGGTAGAGGAAGAGGGTGACAAATACAGAATTATATTTAGGGAGAAGAAAAAGATAAAAAGAACACTGTCTGCCTTCTTTAGATTTGCATTTAAGGCATCCAGTAGTGTACTCCAGATGTGTACAAATAAGTTTTGTCTGCTTGTCTATCAAGCAGAGGACACTTACGCAGACCCATGGGTGCTTGAGGGCCTCTTGAGCAGTGATCCTCTTGGCTGGGTTGATCGTCAGCATCTGGTTGATCAGGTTTTTGGCCTCTGGGGTGACTGTGTCCCACTCTGGGGATGGGAACTAGAGGCAGAGAAAACATAAAGCTCACATTCACAGAGAGGATATAGAATGTCCTTA